GGGGGAATGGGAGGGAGCGGCAGCCAGCTTGGCGAAGTCCGGCGGGCTGGCGGGCGTAGCGTGCCTCGTCGACGGTACACCGGTAGTTGATGTGGCCGTTCGCGGGAGCTGCAAGGTTTCCCGGTGTGTTCGATGGAGTTCATGTAAAATTAAAGCAGAGCAAGAACGTGTGAAAAATAACATTTCTGAGCGTTACGGTAGCTTCCTTGAATTGCCCTGTCATAGTTTGCTGAAGAGTCCAACAAATTAAGGATCTTCTGAAGACTTCAGATGGGTTTAATGTTTTCATTCAATGTGTATGTTTCAAGAACAAAGAACTTGCAGTGTTATTTGCAGAAATAATTTGTTAACGGGCACTCAACCGTGTGTCCATTTGTACTGCATGTCAAAATCGTATCGGTCACTACAGCAGAAAATAGTCTGTTACAGGAATCTGTTTTTCACTGGCATGGGATGGATTAAAAGATTTACCGAATCCTGTCCAGTGCTAATTTCTGCAGTTCTGTTCGCTACCTTATGTGTAATCCTTTGACGTAGAAAAGGAAAACGTTCTGTGTCGTGAATTCTGTGCAGTTCAGAAAAACAGAATCAGCTTTGTCAAGTCCGTACCTTAAAAGCTACTTTACTTGGTTTTTGTGAGTTTGTGTGTGTGTGTGCGGGGCGCGGGTGTCTTCTTTTTTTTTTTCTTTTTTTTTTTAAGAGATCTTAACAGTAAGAGTACCTATTTTTTAATGTCTGGGGTTATTTTATTTTATTATTTTTTAAATCTACAGGTTGCAATAAAAATAATAGACAAAACAAGGTTAGACCCAAGCAATCTGGAGAAGATTTATAGAGAAGTTCAGATAATGAAGCTTTTGAATCATCCCCACATTATCAAGCTGTATCAGGTAAGAGGTCAGCTTTGAAGTGCAGCATGCAGATGAGATAGGCTTGTGCTCTTCTCTTGCACATGATTTTACATCAAATATTTGCAGAGAGAATGCATATTTAAATACTTCTTGAAAAACACTTAAAATAAACTGGGTTTTTTAAAAGTCATTCATCGTTCTTTGAACAAGACTCTGATACCTTAGACAGCTTTTTGACAAAACGCACTGTAAAATTTACAATTAAAACCAGGCTGAAGTTTGTTTCAGGTCAAGGAACTGATTATCTGAACTTCTATGATGAATTTGCCTTTCCTGGCTCCTCTGCTTTTCCAGTTTAGAGGACTGGAACTTCTTATGTGCTTTTGATAAGGGGAAGACTTAAACTCATGTAGGATAGCAGAGAAGAAAGCACAAAAGTTGAGTTTGCCATAAGTGGAAGGGATTTAAAATCAACAACAAAGAAACCGAATCAATCTAAGAATTAGAATTCTAATCTAAGTAGAAAAGAAAAAGCCTGCAAATGTTGGTATCTTAGAATATGTCAAAAAATGACCCGTTTGGTTATTCTGTTCTGGTTTGTGTGGTTTTGAAAGTGAATTTTAAATACCTTTCCCCTTGTAGAGTTTCACAACATGAATTTTGGTTTAGATTTGTTCAGCTTCTGCACTGATGAGTATTTTTAACAGTAATAACAAATGAATGTGTTGTGCAGAAAACAGGATCACAGCTGTCTAGTGAGCAAGGGCAGCTTTGCAAATTCTAAATATTTGATCTAATTAGCATTTGGTATAAGTTCCGCTTAATCATCTTAAATAGTGCCATGTGGATTTAAGAAGATAAGGTATCGCAGTCTGCCTGGACCTGTGTAGAAGCGGGGGGGGGAGAGAGAGGAGTAGGTGGATGAAGCAGCAGGTCTGAAAGTCCATGTGCAGTAGTAAACACTATTATCGTCTGCAATCTTACCGTTGGGTTTGTTAGCTTAAAAAAAAAAAAGAAAAAAAAAGTTTAATTAATGTGTAAGACCGAAGAGCCAGTAAGGCAGGCGCTTAGGCAAGGCATTATTTTTAAAGACCTTGACACACGTGAAGTGCTTGATATTTACAGTATTAACCATCAGAACAAAAATTATTCTGTGTTAACATCTGATGTCATTGTTGCCCATAGGGCAGTATAGGATATACAGAAATATTCTAACAGTTCGGTTGATTTCATTTCAGTGGAATGATGTGGGTGAAAATACTATTTCGAAGCTTTTAGAAAAGCAGGTTAAATTCCATCTAGTTGAACCACTTCACTTGATGGAGCAAATGACGTTGGTAGTGGACCATAATTTCTTTTCAGCGAAGTTTTCTTTTCTTTGTTGTTGTAACTGATGCTTTACCTGTTTGGTGGAGACTGAGAAGCAGGGATGGAATTAGATGACATACCAGTGTAGGGTGTGTGTTCTTGTATTATTTCATCATTGTTTTAGTTTCAGCATGGCGTCTTAATTTCATCCAGCTGGCAACTTTCCCAGAACACTTTCCTTCAGTTTTTTAAACTGGGAACCTCTCTTCCTTTGCTCCCTGTTTGTTTATTTTCATTTTGTGTCTGTGTGTACTTGTAGTGAGGGGAGGACAAGAGTCTTCGAGAAAGGTTACATGTTAGGATCCTGGAAATTGCAGCCTTTGAAGTAGCATTGACGCTTTTTTGATTGTTAACTTGTTGTGAGCCTTCTGCTTCCAAAACAAAATATCTACTCCTTGAGAGTCCAATGCCAGGGAAATGTTGTATTTCAAAATCTGAAATGCAACATTTGAAAGATGTGCCGTAGTAACTGAAGATGAATTTGGAAATGCTCCGCATTCCTCATTCATTGTTTGGTTTTTAGTTCTTTTTTTTTTTTTCCTCCAAAGGGAAAAATTAGTAAGTATCAAAGGAAGTTGATAATAGATTGATCAGTGAACGCTGGGCGATATATTGACGGTTGTTGATGTGCATCAAGCACTGCCGTTACACAAACAGCAACCTATTGTCACTTGCGTGGGAGGCTTGCCATGTTCCGAGCCAACACCAAATGGGAGCGGGGTATTTGATACTACTTCTTGATTTGTCCAAGTTGCAAATATCTCTCCTGATCTGAGTACCTGCTAGCCTTGAAACAAAGGCGACCTTATGTAAACTTTAAGTGTCTTTGCATGTTCAAAATGTATCAAATGAATTGTAAAACTTTATATGCATATTTTAACAAAAAGGAATTCAGGGTAGTGTATGAAATTATTGAACTGCTCATCAGTTATCTTATGGAGATTAGGTGGCATGGTAATGGCGAGAACAATGGCATGGGAAGCCATTGTATATTTTAGGCACATAAGCATTGATTTGTTATCTTTTTCTTATATACCAGTTTGCTTGGAAAGAGCATTGTGATGCAAAATTAGATGCCTTTACTGCCAGCTGCTGTGGCAAATAAATAATTAAACTGATATGTTTGAGAATACACTTAGAAAAATGAGTGAAATTACAGAGGTCTGCATTTTTTTAAGCATGTCTTCTCTTGTGTCTTCACAGGTTATGGAGACAAAGGATATGCTTTACATTGTTACTGAGTTTGCAAAGAATGGAGAAATGTTTGGTAAGTCCTCACTGCCGGAGCTAACAGTTCTTTAGATTTAGAAACCATGGCTTTATTGTGGTCATTCCTGAGTAATATATATGTTCTGATTAAAAATCCAGGGTTGGCGTTGTCAGCTGTCGAACAGCGAGTGTAGCACCTGCAGGATTATGAAAAGTTTCCTCCAGGTGTTTCTAAATCCTCTGTCTCTTTTATTTTGTCTTGCAGATCATCTGACCTCCAATGGGCACTTAAGTGAAAGCGAAGCACGGAAGAAGTTCTGGCAGATTCTTTCAGCGGTGGAATACTGTCACAGCCACCACATAGTGCACAGGGATCTCAAAACAGAGAACCTTCTGCTAGATGCTAACATGAATATCAAGTTAGCAGGTAATAAGAAATACGCAGTTACTCTATAAACAACATTAGGCATGTAGTCAAATTCAATCTCTCTAGGATCATCCTATAAATGTATTTATGGTAACTGAAAATAAAACAAAAGTTAACTGATATTTCTCTGAACACATCCTCTGGACAAAAGAGAATAGCTTAAATGAAGAGGCAGAGAACAAAGCAATACATCTGCTCTCTTCTCTCCATTTTCTGCTACTTCTGAAATACTAGTATGTGGTTGAGTGGTGTCTTACCCCAGACTTTTACCTTCATTCCAGACTTTGGCTTTGGAAACTTCTACAAGTCGGGAGAGCCCCTCTCCACTTGGTGTGGAAGCCCACCCTATGCAGCTCCAGAAGTTTTTGAAGGCAAAGAATATGAAGGACCTCACCTTGATATATGGGTGAGCTTGATATTCCTTAGAAATCGCATTTCACACTTCATGAGGGTCTGTGGGCTTTCAAAATCATTGCTTTTACTGGAGTTACTCACATGCTGTGGTGTTTTCTATTGACAGAGCCTTGGAGTGGTGCTGTATGTCCTTGTCTGTGGTTCTCTGCCTTTTGATGGACCCAATTTACCAACTCTGAGGCAACGAGTGCTGGAGGGGCGGTTCCGCATCCCTTACTTCATGTCCGAAGGTGCTTTTTTTCAGATCCTTAATGTTATAAAAGGGGATGCAGCTAAAGGAATAGCTGTCCTGTTCCTTCTTGAGGCAATGACAGATGGAACTGGTTTTGCAGCTGGCGATCACTTTGTCTTTACGTATCCAGTAATTTCTGTAGGGCAGTGCTTATAATAAGTTCAGGGGCTGGTCGCACACATTTTGTTTTCTGGGGTCTGCTTTATGGTGCATTTAAAAGGCTGTCGTTTCGTTTCTTGAACTATCTCTATGGATTACAAACATATTTGACACCCTAGCTGGAGAAATAATCGGTCACAAAAGAGAAAAAACAGGATTTTAATGAGACTAGCCTGCAGTGCTGAGATGGGTGTAGTTCTCCTAAGATATTTTAACGATGCAGAAGGGGAATATTTCAGTGTGGCTATGCTGTCAAGGGGAGCAGAAATAGTGGGGCTTAGCACTGTTTCTTGAACACTCATACTTGAACAGTCTGGTGAGAAAAAGGAACTGAAGAGTATTACGACCTCTCTCTGATTTGGATTCAAAAACAAGTGAATGTGCCTCTCTCTTCAAGTGAAGAGTATCTTTTGAAGTCTGACCTTTATCAGTTACAGCCGTGAACGGCTTTGATTCCCTGGTTATAAACGAAGAAGCAGTATACATGGACCAGGAAGCTGTATGTGATGGGGTTCTGTACTAAATTCTGACCTATTTTAAGTGGTTGTAACATCATTAAACCTGCATTCACTCAAAACTAGCTCTCCTACAAGGTGCAAGGCCACCTGAAACCTGCTGGTATCCGTTACAGCTTCATTTCCTGTAGTGATGAGTTGCTTTTGTGAAATGTATGTGGACCTCTCTTGTGCTGGTTTGAATATCTGGTAGTCAGACCAGGCATCAGCTGCTCAGAAACCTTTAATTCCCATCTTCGCGGACATCATACACTGTTGCTGGGAAGGTTTCTTAGCAGTGACCTGGGGCTGGGCTGTTATTTTTACCCCTTGCTCATGAGTTTATCTTTGCCATCCAGACTGTGAAACACTAATCCGACGGATGTTGGTTGTGGACCCAACCAAGCGCATAACCATTTCCCAAATAAAGCAGCACAAGTGGATGCAAGCTGACCCATCTCTGCGACAGCAGCAGTCTTTGTCCTTCTCCATGCAAAACTACAACTCCAACCTGGGTGACTACAATGAACAGGTCCTTGGGATCATGCAAACACTTGGCATCGACAGGCAGAGAACTGTAGAGGTGAGGAGTGCTTGCCCATTAGTGACTACCAGAATGCCAATGGAGCAGTCATATATATGTCATTCAGTGACTAGCCTTGAACCAGTGTCACGGTGTAGTAATCTTCACTACCCTTCCGGATTTTTACTTTTTTTTTTTGACTGCGCTATTATGAGGCCTTAGTGATGAGTTTTGTCTGCTTATATCCCGGGTTACCTGTAACTCAAGGGTCCTTTCAATGTCTTCTAGTCTCTGCAAAACAGCAGCTACAACCATTTTGCTGCAATTTATTACCTGCTCTTGGAGCGCCTCAAGGAGTATCGAAGCAGCCAGCTATCGAGTCGTCCAGCAACTGGCCGTCAGCAAAGGCCGAGGAGCTCCGAGATCATCAATATCGAGGTAAGGAAGGGCATTACTTACCTGGGAAGCTACGTCTGTTGGCTGTCTTTTTTCTGCCCCTTGCTACAGGAAAATACAAGATGGTAACTCTCAGGCTTCTGAAAACCAATTCTGATACTGGTGCCCTCTGACAGGACACAGCCTACTTTTTTTTCAGGAGGCTGACTGAATACTAATGGCCTGTTTCCTAAGAAGTGACTGTGGGTCATGGTCCAAAGAATAGGCTGCCTTCGGTGCAGGTCAATAATGAGCCAGAATATTAGGCTTCTCATGGAAATTTGCCCTCTTAGGCATGGATCAGTTACACTTCTTCGTTACATACCTCATAGGATCCTCAGAAGTATTCCATGAGTCAGTTTGTGTGTTTTTCTGACATTCTTTTTCTTTTCCTCACCCCCACCCCCTTTAAAGTGTGCTCTGGGTGCCTTTTCAAATTGTACTTGCAGTTAAATTGCTTAACTTAGGAGAAGGAGTTTTGTGTTTGTGTTGGCATTGAAAGACTAGCTTTGTTAATTTTCATAGTATGTGGAGGAAGCTTGCACGGAAGGTGGCTCTGAAATTCCTTGAGCTTCCAGTATCTGAAAAGTCATGTGGAACTGCGGTGTATGTGATGGCTTCTGTGCATCGCTTTCTCTCTCCAGATGCCTCAGGACAGTCTCGTTAGTGAAACCCTGCGATCATCTCTGCTTTACCAGCAACCTCAGAGCCTGATTCAGCCATCCTTGCAGGCAGAAATGGACTGTGACATGAGCAATCCATTACAGGTTGGTGTTCTCAGCTAAACTGTGTGCTACTTTTTTTCTCCATTGTTTTGCCAATCCAAAACAACAGGGGTTGTGACTCTGTTGTTCTCTCCCTCCAATCTTTGGTTTGGCATTTGGGCATGGTGTTGTAGTAGCCTCTCAAACGGTACACGTACTGAAGACATGCCACAGGGCTGTGAAGAGTATTAAAAAGTAGTGCAGAAATAAATGAAACACCCTTCAGTCTGTGATCTGACATGTTTTGCAGCCTGTGTTCTTTCCTGTGGATCCCAACTTCAACGGGCTCTTCCGGAACCGCTCCATCTCCCCGAACAGCCTGCTGGAGACCACCATTAGTGAAGAAGTAAGGCAAGAGAAGGAACTGGAAGATGAAATTAAGGCGTATGACCACCCCATCCGCATCCCTAGCAACACCAGCAGGAGGCACACACTGGCCGAAGTGACCACTCATTTCTATCAGCATGCCCCTCCATGTAAGTAAGTCTGGGAGAGATGAAGGGTGTCCGTAGTTAGAGGAGAAGGACAGAGAAGTAGTGCCATAGCGGACAAAAGCCTGGGGAGTGTGTGCTGATTTTACCTTGACTGGGGTAGGAAAGCCCAGTGCCCTCCACAGTTCTGTCTTCCCAGAAATAAGCATGGCCCTTAAGGAGGAGACCTTGCCTGTTGTGTTTCATCTAGATCACTTTAGAGGGGAGCATTCTCACAAGCAGGACCTAACCCTTCTCTGCTTGCTTCTGCTGTTGTACCAGGGGAGGTGGGGGTGCCTGAGCTTAAAAAAAAAGGTCATCACTATCTGTATTTGGTACACATCCAGACCCCGTGAACTAAATACACAAGCAAAACTGTTCACAAAACGATAATCCTGTGTCAGAGCTGTTGTGCTAAAGAAATGCTGTAGGCCTGATCCAGCATACCCTGGTGGTGCTGGAGTTGCTGGCAGAGCCCTGCTGGCTGGACGGGAGCCCAAACTTAAGTTATTCATTGATGACCCCTTGCTGGAGTCAAGCCCTGCGACAACATGAATTGCTGGACACCTCTGCGGCTCGCAGCTGCTTATTAGTGCCAGTGTAGGTGGGCAGAAGGCTCTGATGTCATGTTTGTTCCTTCCTGTACTCATCTTGGGAATGCTCTTTCTCTCCTTCCTTCCCCTCTGTAGGTATAGTCATTTCCTCTTCTGCAAGCCCCACAGAGGGAACTAGTTCAGACAGCTGCCTTACTTCATCTTCAAATGACAGCTCAGTGGCCCTGAGCAGCTGTTTGGCAGGTCAAGTAATGACGGGGAGCCCAGCCACAGCTAGGATGACGTCGCCCTTCCTAGCTTCCCAGTCTGACGCTCCGGTGTTACAAGCCCAGGGCTGCATGGGAGGTGCTTCTCTCCTGCCTGTCAGCTTCCAAGAAGGAAGGCGGGCATCTGATACCTCATTAACTCAAGGTAATGTCTTCCTTGCTTTATTGCTGGGGAATTGCACCCTTCCAACTGCCACTAGAAAAGGGTAGCATGCAGGGATACTTGCTTGCCCATGTTAGTGTTACACTGAGGCCAGCCACCTGGATATTCTGCCTCTCGTATTCACGGTCCCTGAGGGAGGGTCGGATGCCCTGAAGAAGGTGCCTAGATGAGAGGTTCTCAGATACTGATTCAGCGTGCCCGTGAAGATATTTCTGCTGCCGTGAGTGGGATGGCAGGCTCCGCCTTCCTCCTAAAATACGGAGTGCACATCATCATGATTTCTATCAGGTTTCTCCTTTGCTGTGCATGTGTCCATCTACACAAGGGTGCAGCCGTCCCAAACCCTGTTCCGTTACATGAATTCTGCACCCCATCAGGCAGAGGGGTGAACGTGAACTGAAGAGTCACGGTCTCTTCTAGCGCAGTTCTCACGCAACTGAAGGCAGCTGCCCAGAAAGGCCGCTCTGTAAAGTAGGTTCCTAGGCAAATGCTAAGGAGGATTAAAGCGCATTTCTTTTCATCATGTCCCACAGGCTTGAAGGCTTTTAGGCAGCAGCTGCGGAAGAACGCTCGAGCCAAGGGGTTTCTCGGCTTGAATAAAATCAAAGGCTTTGCTCGGCAGGTGTGTCAGTCCTCCTCATCTCGGGCAGCAAGGAGTGCCATGAGCCCTTTCCAACACACGCAGCCGAACACCTGCATGTACAGCAGCAGTGGGAGCAGCAGAGAGGGAAGAAGCCTCCTGGAGGAGGTGCTACAGCAGCAGAGGTGAGAAGCTGGCTGGGAGAAGTTTTGCTGTTTTCATTGGGGTTACTTTGGTTAGGGGCAAGCGAGGAGGAGTAAACACAGCAAAAGAGGCTGGGGAGTTTAGTCACTAGGGGTTCCTATCCTCCATCTTTGCTGTGTGGCAGCAGATAAACTGCTTGGCTTCCTTTGTGGCTTCCTGCACTGGCATATGTAACACGGGATGTGCAGTTCCACTTAAAAACCTCGACGTTCAAATGTTTGGAGGTTGCTGAATTGAGAAGCAGTTTGGTACTGTGGGGGAAAACATTACTTCTCCCCATTGCAAGCTGTGTTTTTCTTTGTTAGTTTTGGGAATGATTTCTTTCTCCCTCTGCCTCCTCCTGTAATTTTCCCATGGCAAAGAAGCGAGACCTTGTAATTTGGAAAAGTTACAGCCCACAAAGGAAGCACAGTTCCAGTGGCCTCAAATGTCATGTGTGGTGGCACCTCTTCGTTCCCATAGAAGCAAGATGGAAAATTGAGTTTCCGGTTTATCTGCGCACGTTGTCTCTAGAACATCTATTATTAGCAGGCCAAATGGTGACTAGATAACTTTCTGGTGATAGTCGCCCTCTCCAACATGAGGAAAAGCCAAGTGAAAACACGTTGACCTGGCATGGTCAGCTTGCTTTAATTGTACTGGCTGGGTAAGGAAAGCTTTGATAGAGAGAAGGAAACAAAGGGGAAATTATGGTCGGGGTGGGGGCAAGAAAGAAGGAATGCAAGTTAACCTCTTTCATCCTTGGATTTTGTTCAGAATGCTCCAGCTACAGCATCACCAGCTCCTCCAGACAGCTTGTCCCCAGACTTCTCAGACATCTGCAACAAATGGCGTCCCCTCCTCTGATAGCGTAGGTACCTGCAAAGCATCCAATTCTCTTCTGTTGTCAGAGCTACAAAGAGAGAACTCATTTGAGCTGGCCTTTGCCGGCAACAGCCAACTGCTCCAACCTCATTTCTTTGGTGTCAGCGTGTCACCGGTGTCCTCAGCAGCTCACCTTCTAGACACGCACCTGTACATCAGCAGCAACGTCTCTCCAGTTGGCACCACCTTCTCTCAGCAACAGAGTTTCTCTGCACAGTCTCCAAGCTATGACGCCGTCACTCTGCAGCACGGGGACTGTGAGATGGAGGACCTGACTTCCAACCAGCTAGGGAAGTTTGTCCTAGTCAAATGAGAGCCCCGGCTGCTATAGCTCACGCTGCTCTTGTTGCGAAGAACTTTCACCGCTGTTCCATGGCGTGTGTGGGTCCATGGCTGGCTGGTGTCGTGTGGACGAGTGACTCTCAGAAGCAATAAATTTTGAAGTATGTGAAGACGCTGTCTGGCTCAGAAAGCTAGCAACTTTATAGAACGGAAACAAGCAATATGTATGTCTTTTTGCTTCTACTACTCTTGCACTGAACAAATATGAATAGAAACTGAATTTTTTAAAGGAAAAATAATGATGGGGAAGGTGGGTGGGGCACTTGTGGGGACAGGGAGGGATGTGGTTGGGGAAGAACTCTTCGGTACTGTACTCAAGTCAGACCAATACAGCTCTGCTGTTATGCAAGATTAGCAGCTGTCGGTAGTGGTGACACAGCAGGGAGAGGCTTTTCAAAGAAGGGACCAGAGCCTCCCTTTTTCACAATATTCATTTATGGGTTTGTGAAGATGATTACCTCTTTTAAAGAAAATAAACAGAAAACCAGTGGCATGCAGCATTATGCATTCATAGAGGACAAAAATGGAAGCATTGCCATTTGTTGTTGGGTTTTTTTTCCTCCTGTTAACACTCGTTTTATTTAAAGGAACCAACATCCCCATTCCACGCCTCCCAGATACATATACTTTAAATGAAAACTGTGAACTTCTTGCTTGATACATCAGCTGGAAAAGCT